TTTATTGTTGATAAATTAGATTGGTAAATAATTAGATTGTGTTACTTTCATATAGGCACAGGCAGAATCACATTTCCCGAATTTCTGCAGATGATAACATATATTTCATCCCATCAACAAAARGACGCCGATATTTTAGAGGCATTTGGCGTATTTGACCCAGAAGGACAGGGTTATTTTTCTGTCAATGAACTTAAAGAAGCTTTCCAGCTAATGCCTGGATACACATCCATTTCTGAAGATGAAATGGAGAACATTTTGAAAATAGCTGACTCTAACAATGATGGCAAAGTCTATTACCAAGGTAAAGTRGAGCAAGAGAATATGAACTAAGAGAAGGAATCCTACCTATATAGGCTTGTAACCATCATGTGCACAGTTTGATRCTATTTTTAGCTTGGRGATATTTTGAGCGAAGAACCTGATTGGTTCATTTCTTGAGGGTAGGCGGCTTCCAGTCTTGCAGKAAACMAAAKCCTGTGTTTTTGTMGTGGACGTTGCGAAATATGGCGCTTTTCGTGTCCTAAAACGAAGMATTAAAGGGAAGCATGATTATYGCGCGGGCATGGTAACGAGTTAAAAATAGGATCAATGATTCTAAAMATAGCACCAAAGAGWGCACATGATGGGGCACGGGGATTCCTTCTCTTAGTTCATTTTCTCTTGAGTAGAGYCTATTTGTTAGACCACCAACATGGCTCTCMTGTATGCATTTATTGATAATTTACAAGGGTAAAAGCAAAAAGTGATAATAATTAATAATTAACAGATTTTTATTTCCTTTCAGATTTCAAGGACTTAGTTCTTCCCATTTTTCATCGGTACTGATCAACTACTATTCATAGAATAAACAACACGACTTCCTATAATAAACTCAATATGAAAGTCACAACACAGCGCCTAAAAAAAGTCAATAATGTGTGTCACATTTCAAATCAGTAAAACTTTTCAACCAAACTGTAGCTTGAGGATGCTCACAGCAGGTGAAACTGTAACTGGTAAGACATCTCAAGTCCATCATAGYTRTCAAGCGGTTTAAACAWGTAAAATGTATTTACCAATAATCCTTGCCGGTCTCAGCTTCGTATCTTYCAGGTTACTAACGTTTTTGAAATAAAAAGGTTGATTGCCAATCTACTTATACAGAAACTAACATGTCTGCCTTCATGTGAGAAAAGGTCATGGACATTCTTCACTGATTGATGTTCCTAACAATAGTGTTTTTTTTTTCAAGAATTAATAAAGAATTAATTAGGAATTGATTAAGAATTAATTAAGAATTAATTAAGGATTAATTAAGGATTAATTAAGGATTAATTAAGGATTAATTAATTTTGGTGCGGCAGTACGAGGAGCGAGGTGGAATTTTGTAAACAATTTTTAAAGAAAGGATATATAAATGACAAAGGGTATTTTTATACCGCTATGCTCCTCAAACACAGACTCATTTACGCATTTTTTAGCCTCGATTTTTCAGCGTTAAAATATTCCCAAACATCTAAGGTACAGAATGTACAATTTCAAGAATACAAACAMTTTTGAAAATTCAGTGCACAGATCTCCAGTGGAATGCATTAATATTCTACACGAAATCAGGGGAAACCCTAAACAAAACTAAAGTAGTGTTTTGTATTGTATTTTCAAAGTGTTTGTCATTGTATTTTCAAAGTGCTCAATAGAGGAGTGCCATGGTTGAAAAGAAGCTAAGGCAAAGCAAACTTTGTCGGCCAGTTTTTTCCTAAGCCTCGGGATGGCTAATACATCAACCCTTCTTTTTCCAGGAATTAAAAGATTTTATTTAAAATATAATAAAACATAAAGTTGTACAGACCATATCATTTAACGCTATAAGTTTGAATATTTACGATTTAAGAGAGAAATAAAAGCAGTTTCTAACATTTTTGGCAATGAATCATTTTGCGATGAAGTTCGTAACAACCTTGTAAAGACTGTTTGCATGATGACGTCATTTTACTACCAGAATGCTTCGCGAATTTTCTCTATTCAGTTTTTATGGAGCTTTTTAGCTTYGCATGCAAATTACCCATTTCAGATCACATGACATTCCCTTAAGAATTATTCTTTTATGACGAACATGTTAAAATATTTACACATGAAAGAATCAAGTTCCAGGAGTGGCATCACATGGTCTGAATGTGCACAACAAAGGCCTATTTCCTAATAAAAGAGTACTAAGATAGTTGGTGCTAATTTACTCATTTAGACATTCTGACCTTGTACTATAATGCAAATGGTCTAATGCAAGCCGCATGCTTCTGTTTTCATGGCTACGCCCTGATCGAGACAGCAGCCGCGACGACGAAATCAGGCAAAAACTACAGTCAATCAAATAAAATGTCCAATACCATTACAACAGACCTTTTACTGACACGGCGGCCATCTTGAATCATAGGATGCCGAGGGGGAAAACAAGTACTCGAAACATTGAGTCGTTTTCAATGAGAAGCTGTGGCTTGAAGACCACATACTTTCTTTGCGTGAATCAGTGCTTCTTCCATATTTATAATCTATGGGAAATTTGGAYGTACCTGAGTTGTGGTGCATGTGAAACCCTTGTTCATGCTTTCATTTTTTCTACACTTGATTTTTGCCTTTCTTTATTATATGGTTTTAAATCATCCTTGCAAAAGTTACAGCATGTTCAAAATTCTGCTTTAAAGCTCGTAATTTTCACTCGATCGAAGCAAGAACATATCACCCATATTCTGTACATCCTAGACGGGTTGCCAGTGCATAATGTAGCACCGTGCTATCGCTCCTATCTTTGTGACTGAGTTAAACTTTGATCCTCTTCTTTRAATCTTTTCTCATTTTTTACCGAAGTAGCACGTTCCTACCTTTGCCGACTGAGTTAAACCTTATGTTCCCTCTTGCTCCTAAAGATCCTCTTCTTTAAATCTTTTCTCATTTTTTACCGAAGTAGCACGTTCCTACCTTTGCCGACTGAGTTAAACCTTATGTTCCCTCTTGCTCCTAAAGATCCTCTTCTTTAAATCTTTTCTCATTTTTGTCGATTTAAAAAATTTTATTGTTATCATTTAGATCAAGTCCTTCAAATGCGTTCATATTCATCCTCTTCGAATTCGTCCAARTGTTTTAAAACAGCTTCATAAAAATGCAAAGACTTACGTTGCTTTTCGTGGACATAATCATACTCATCTGAACTAGGCCTTGACTCATAGTATATGTCGTTATTTTCATATTCAGACTCGGCGCTTGGCGACGGTATGTTTTCATAGTCGAGTTCATATTCATTTTCTTTGATATCCTCTTGTTTTTGCTTTGAATTTTCTTCACTACCGTCTTTTGATCCGCTTGCTTTCAAAGCCTTTTCTAAAGCCTCGMGAAAAGAAGTGCTTGTTTTAACACTTGTTCTCTCGACAGGACAGCTCTCAGATCTCGCTTTTCCAACATCATTACTTTTTGGACTCTCAGCTGATTCAYTTTCTTCAGATTTAAACAATTTTTTGGAAAACGCTTCAGTTTTGGTTTTCTGTAGTAGACCTACATCYTTAGTTTCAAAGTAATTCTTAGATTTCGAAAAGGAAGGTATTGTACTAAGGTTAGGTTTGCTTTTTTCACGATGGCCACTTTTTTCCTTTGGCATTTGTTCGTTTCCTAAGGATTTTTGTTCATTTTTAGGGTTTGTTAACCCTTTATAGCCTTTTCCTTGCATTGCTTCTTCTCTTCCTTCGCTTTTCACTGTAGCATCATAAACATCTTTTTTATTTGGCATTAATCGTTTATCGGAAGGTCGAGACAAAGTCTTATCCATAATTTTCTGATTGAGTTCCACTGGAAAACTGCCCTGATATCTTTTATCTTTTGTGGGCTTTTTCATAGGAATTGCATAATTTGCGCTGTTTCTTCTGACTTTTTCTTCAACCTCTGAGCCTTCTTTCTCAATGCCATAGTGATCCATTGGCACATACTGGAAATCTTGATCACTATCATCTTTTCTGGTACTTACATTTACCCTTGACATTGGATCCTGGTCGAATTCTTTGTGTTTTTCAATGGAATGAGTGTCCAAGCACTTCTTACACATAAGATCCTTTTCACATCTACATYCTTTATTGCTTAACCCCAATGCGTTAAAGCGGCTTCCATTTCCTTTGTCGCTTTGATCATTATTCGTAAGCGTTAACAAATCCCTGGGTGGATTTGGCAGTTCCTCATCGTAAGAGCACGAAGCCATACCATCATACTTTTCGGGAAAAGCTGGTAAATTTATTTCAACAGCTTCAAGATAATCAGATTCCCGCTTACTAGAACCTGGGGAGTTTTTATCTTTACGGAGTTCCATCGGTGGTAAGATATCTAAATACTCATCTTGTGGCATTTCGTCCTTAACTGCCATTTCCTGAGAGGGCATCACACTCAAGGAAAGCATCGGAACGTACTCATCACCATCTTTGTCGACTTTTTTTTGGTCTTTCTCCGGCCAAGCCTCAGGGTATTCTCCAGTTGAACTGCTGTCTACGTCACGAACGATATCGTGAGTGTTTCCGTCTTGCCAATTTTTGCTATACTGATCACATGAATAATAATCTTGTGCGTAATCTACTTCTGTTGCTGACTGGCGGTTTCTGTTTCGCTTCAATAATTTTTCATAAAAATTAAAAAGGGCCTTGGAACCTTTCAATAACGGCATATATCCCCCCTTTCTACTTTCTTTACCCTTTGCAACTTTTTCACCGTTGTCACGATTATGGACCTCTGTGCTACTTAAAGATTCAATTATTTCAGCGTCACTGATAGATAGTTTTGTCTCCTTTTTGTCGTCATCGATTTCAACAACTTCCACCGGACAAGGTACGTTTTCTTCAACATCACTAAAACTATTCTTTGAAATTGCATTTCCAATCTCGTTTGATCCTCTTTCGACCTCAGTAGTTGAACCTGCTTCAATATCTCCCTCGATGTTCTTATTTGAAAGTACTATTTCGCTGTCTGTTGTTGGGCAACGCTTTTTCCGAACGCGCATGGTTTTGCACGTGACTGTGAGAATAATGGTTGACGTAAGGGCGAGAACGCCAACCATGGTCATTATAAAAAATGAAGGCAAGTCTGAAAATAAACATAAATTAAGGAGTAAAATAAAAAATATCGTCCTTGTTTTACGACGGTAGCATTTATTTACAGTGCAACTATCACAGGAATAAAAACCTGATTCCCAAATTGGGAATTTGTTGGAAATTTCCTTGAATTCCCAACGAATTCCCATCCAATTCCCAGAGAGAATGAAATTGGGAACGTGGCACTGATTCCCAATGTTAGTTTGTTGGGAATTTTGTTTTTCTGTTGGGTATTAGAAGGAAATTCCCAACAATAAATCCTAACGTTGGTGTAGGAATTGGGAATTCAAGGAAATTCCCAACAATTCCCAATTTTCGAATCCGGTTTTTTTTTCCTGTGTATTGTAACCGGGGCCACTTATACCAGTTAGACAAGAGAACCAGTTAAATTTATGACCATCGGTTCTTCAATCAATCAATCAATCAATCAATCAATCAATCAATCACTTTATTTATCCTACAAATATGGATCAGCTGGAGGACTGGAGAGACAACCAGCTGGTATAAACCCATTTGTAGCAATATATGATAATAAATAATAACATATAATATATAATAATAATTCGATACCAATCCTTACCAWTAGGTTTACACAAGACTGCTGCAACTCTGTTCGTGCCACATCTCATCTCCTTGCTGTCATGTGACGCCGAAGGACAGTCCGACAGAGATCGTTCGTTTCCGTCGCATTGGAACTCCTTAGCAAGAACCTGACCTGGAGCATGTCCAAATGCCTCTCCCAAGATGGCTGCTTCAGCTGCTAGGAAGCCCAGCTGTCGACAAACAACTTGAGCATCCTTTTTGTCCCAGCCGACTTCACAAATCGACCACTGACTTCCATTAAGTTTGATCTGAACTTGGCCAGCGTATTTAAGAGTCGATCTGATCAGCTTAATGGGATAGCCTAAGATGCAAACAGTCAAAATCAACAAGCTTATATTTTTYAATTATTTTGTTTCTCAAACTCTTGTCAAACAGACCGAAGCTTAATTAAATCAATAATGTTCCATTTTTCCTAATTTCCAAGCTTTTCTCTTCTTTTCATGTGTCATGGGTGACATGCAATGCTTCGACGCTGTATCTTGCCGCTGTATAATTCGTGTATAGAGTTGCAAATTGTGCGCTCGATTCTCAACTGAACCGCATCTGTGACCGCATTCTCCGCAATTCTCTACCCAGTCATAAACRAGGATTTTCCTCCGAGCTCTCCGATTCCTTCCTTGTAAAATTAACAATTATTCAAGTTGGGTGTTGTATGGTGTAAATAGTAAATATATGGTGAGTGTTATCGTCGTGAAGCGAACGTCATAGAAGATTCCCGTACGGGGAGTTATGGTTGTAAAATATGGAGGCTATTTTTTCCCATCTAGTGGAGTTGTTTTACAGTGGCGACCTGGTAGACTGTACAACTTTATTTGCATTTTGGCTTCCATTCAGTGAATTTACAATGATCTATGTTGTTGGTAAATTTCACAAAGGGGTGAAGTCCGGAAGCAAGGGTTGCATAGAGATGAGCCTCTTATCATTGCGACCCAGGTTCGAGCAGAGCTTCTAGTTATTTCTCTCCTGTGCTTCGAGGGTTTTTCTCCGGGTTCCCAATTCTCAGGTTCATTAACCACTGGCTATTAAGTGCTACCCCCGTTAAAAACAAGGACGGCGACCCGGATGTGAAGGCTACAGTACTTGAAATATACGTACAGATAGCTGTCCAGTTTATGMAGATATTGTATCCATGTCACGTATATTGTTAGTCCCTTAATTTTCTCCTAACATTTCTGCTATCAATCTTTCTTGTAAATTAATGACTTTTGCCGTGAAACCGCCATTCGATAAAAAATGAAATAAAAACAATAAAAGCTAATGAATTTTACCTTCTTTCATCTGACATGGTGAAGCAAATATGGAAAACAGCAAAACGAAAATATACTTGGTCTTCATTGATTTACKTTGTTTGTGGGTTGTGTATATCTGGAAAATTAAAAGTAACGATCAGTAAATAAAATAAAAGAAAGCAAATAACTTAAAAGTAAAACTATGCTTATTCGTTATAGTATAACTTGCAGCAACTTGTCTACCATGCTGCAATTCGTTTCTTATTTGCAGCAACTTAAGGGGCGGCGGAACCGGGGAGCCCTCTCACGAATTTTGGGGGGGGGGGGGGG